GGGCTTGCTGTAAGGCAAGTTGAGTTGTGATCTCATTAGCTGCTGACATTCCTGTCTAGATGTGTTGGTTGATTGGATACATTTGCAGAAGTTTCTTGTGTCCTCCTGTGCTTTTTATCAGGTTATTAGTTTTGTTTAAAAGCCACATTTTAGTAAATACATTTCTAACCCTTTCTCCCCCGGAAGGCAGTGCTTTTTAGAAACAACGATCAGTGACTCGCATTGGAGAAATCCTTCTACAGTCCATGCTTGCAAACCACAGATAACTCACTGTACCCACAAGCATACCCAGCTTATTCCTAGAGTTCTGCAGACAATGGAATCATTCTAAAATGGTACAGTCTAGCATAGAGCATTCTCAGGCCTGACATTTTTAATGTCAATATAACAAAGTGCAATGATGTGTAAAATCCAGGCCCTCCCACACTTGAGCGAAAATTGGCCTCATAGAAGTAAAGGACAAAACTACCGACTGCATTGAAGCCAGGATTTCACCCCTGCTCTCTAATGTTTTCTGCAAGTCAGAAAATCATCACCTATATCATCAAAAGTATTTACGTGCCTAGTCACCATGGGAGTCGGGCGCCTAAATGCCTTTTAAGATACAGGAGAGAGTGCTTAAATGTGAGAATAGAGACGTGTATTAGAATTTCCAAACAGTGTTTTGGGTGAAAAAAATAGATGATGAGAATTGAAAAGGACTTTTAATCTCCATGTGTATGTTTGTAGATTTATTTTGTTGCTGTTGTTATAATCAGGGCTTGCCAAGTGGCGGCAAGCCCCGCTCACCAGCCGCATGGAAGCACACGCTGCGCATGTGCAGATCGCGCCAGCTTAAAATCTACTTGCCCGATTGAATCATTTGTCGAGCCCTGATTATAATACATAATACTGGTCATCTGTAGATTTCAAGCACATTAGTAAGGGGGTCAGTATCCGTATCCTCATTTCACAGAGAGGGAAACAGAGGTACAGCATAGCAATGAGGTCACCCAGCAGGCCAGTGCTAGAACTGGAAATAGAGCCAGGTGTCCTGAGTCCCAGTCCAGTGCTCTATCTACTAGGCCACACTGCTATATAATGCATCTGTTGGTTCAAATATCTAAAAGAATGCCACTGGCTTAAAAATCATAGTTTGGCATGACATTTTACCCCACTATTAGCAAAAATAACATCTCAAATAACAACTGAATGAGATGAGAATAATATTTTCTTTATTTTTCAGTTTGTTTACTTTTGTGCATCTGACCGCATATTCTGCATAGCCCGTTCAGCTGATTCCCCTTTGTTATTAAGTGGGCCTCAATCCGTACAAATACCTGAATACATGCTTAGCTTTAAATATGTGAGCATTCCTATTAAAGCAAATGGAGGTACTTATCATGGGGCAAATCATCAGATGGCTTAACTGTCATAGCTCCATTGACTTCAGTGGAGCTGTGACAGTTACAGCAGCTGGGAACTGTTCCTATATGGTAGCAAGAACTTGTGTGGGTCTTTCACAGAGAAAATGTGAAAGAAAACCCTTTTTTAAAATTGTGATGTAAAACCACAAAAATTGTCAGAGTGACTCATGGATAGAAGTAAGAACTGAAACTACCTTTAATTATTTTTTAAGCCAACCAAACTTCAAGTTGACAGTGTCCCTTAAAGTATATTTGAAAAGTGAAAGGGTTCCTGCTCAGGAAATCTGTCAAGTCACAATTTAAAATTCAAGGCCCTAAAGTGCAACAGCCCATGTGTAGAACCACTCAAGTGCAGTGGGAGAAGTTCCATGTAAAACACTTTTGGAATTGGACTCCAAAATATGACATTTATCATACTGCATTAAAGGTTTTTATTTAGAAAATCTTTGCTGTGAAAACATTCCATTAAAAAATTAACTGTTTCCTGATTTCTCTAATTTCCTGTCAAAAGATCTTTACTTTTTGTCACACTGTAAATGTATTCAAACTTCAGTAATGTTGAAACAATATACATTTTCACTTTAATAAAATTATTGGAGCAAGGGATTGAACTACATCAGTGGTTCCCAATCTCTTTTATACCTCAGACCAGCAAACCTATTCATAAACTTCTGGCGGACTGGTAACTTTTTATTTGCTTAGTTGCAAATAAAATTTTACCAATCCAGCAAAATATGTACCCCAGCCCTGGCCCCCAGAGCCACCACAAAAAGATGGCTTTGGCTCCAGCAGCCTGACAACTAGTGATTCACACCCCGCCACTGGTTTGCGGACTGTGGGTTGGGAGCCACTGAACTAGAGGACCTCCTAAGGTCTTTTCCAACCCTAATCTTCTGTGATTCTACGGCTTTCCTTAAACATGGGAATGTATTATAACCAGTGCTTTTTTTTGGAAGAAAAAAAAAAGGTGCCCATACTCCAGGGGAAAAGTTGTTAAGTCCCTTCCCCCCCCCCCCCCCCCCCAAAGGAGGTGGGGGGAGCTGGAACTGCCCTTTTAAGAGACTCGGCCCCTTTAAGACAAGCAGCCCAGCTGACTGTCCAACATTTGGGTACAAAGGTGCCCTACACTCTGTTCTTTCCAGGTAAGTTCTGGCTGGAGGGCAGTACCGGGCACTACTGTCACAAAAAAGCACTGATTATAACAAATGTCTTGAGTAGGTGATGTTCTACTGTTTTTGACTTAAATTGTTTAAAATTGTACGCAGTAATTTTGTGAAATACTGAGTAAAGCAAAAGTTCTGACAGTGTAGCAGTCTTCTTCATAATTAGGGTTGCCAGGTGTCCAGTACTGACCCAGACAGCCTGGTATTTTCACCTCCTGTCTGGTTTAAAAAAAAAAAAAATAATTCAGAAAATGCTGGACACCTGAAATGTCCAGTATTTTCTGGTTTTTTCCCAGCCAGGAGGTAAAAAGACCAGACACCTGGCAACCCTACACACTCAGCAACTAGGCCCAGCTCTCAGCCTTCCCCCCGCCCTCCCTTAGGCCACGGCCCCCCTGCTTACCTGGTTTCCGAGAGAAGCTCCCTTCTTGCTCCACCAAAAAACCAAGATGGCTGCCTGCAAAAAACCTCAAGACCAGAGCAAGGGGAAGCAATGCCTTCCCTGAGTCTTAGTGCTCAACCTCCCTGCTTCCTATCCCTGGCCTATTCTGACTGCATGCATTTAAAGGGGCCATACTGTTTTAATGCTGTTATTTTATTTATTTATCTTTTTGCTTAATAACTCTTGGTCTTTTTTTCCCTCAACTTTTTGGTCTCCTCCTCTTTTATTCCCCCCTGAATAGAATTTTTTCCCCGTTTTTTTTTTTTTTTTTTTTTTTTTTTTTTGCAGGGGGGTTGATATTTTGTTGAAACCATATGGCAACCCTATTCATAATCCAGTACTGAAATATCAAGCCATTTCTTTAAACATGGATAGTAGCTAAATGATTGGGAATCATATGAAGATGTGCTGGTTCTGACATGTTCGAGATCTGTGGTGATTGCTTGAATCCTAATGATAATAATACATTTCTTAGAATATTTTCTAGAACATTCTTAGGGGAATCCCTTAACTGAGATTAACCTAGCTGGCCACTGGATGTCATCATTGTGCCATAAAAAAATACAGCTGGAGGAACATTTATCTGGCAGTTAAAAAAAAAAAGTGGATGGGTAAAAGCATGGATGTGTAAAAGCATGCATTTAACATACCTCTGTATTTCAAAGATTATAAAATACCCTTGTATGGTACAAACGTTTTCTCCAAACCTATCATGTTTCTGTAATTCCTGGCATGGCCATCCTATTTAAAGTCACCTTGTTTGTTGAGGTTTGATTTTTAACACATTGATCTATTGTGTCAATTAATTTATATAAAGAGAAAAATTATCTAATATAAATCCATAGAAATCTTTAGAAGAATAATTTATTTGGAAGAATAAGTGTTGTTTCTCCCCTCTTGTCTCCTAGAAGTAATAGAGGGAAACCTGTTAGAAGTTTTAGATTGCATCCTGAATAAGTGGATCTGAAGAAATGTACAGCAAGAGAAGAATGTCTGATGAATAATAAATGTGGTTCTGTTTCCATTTCTCCCTTCAATGCACATGTGAATCTACAATTATGCATTCTGTGACATGTGAAGTTTCTGTAAACCAAAGCAATAACTAAAATGCAAAGTGTGTTATGCTTCAAAATGGAAAAGGACTCTCTGCTTTCTATGAAGAAACTGAAAATCATATATGGAGTACTGCAGAGATTGTCAAATGCATTGTTATCTCTTGACTCTTCTCTCATATATATTTTGGCACCTCTCTGCTGGGTAGTGAAATCAAAAGACAGCAGTAAAAATGAGTACACTAAGTTTTACTGCCTCAAAACTAGTGTATACTTTAGGCAGAAGGGAAGATGAGAAACTATGAATTAATTATTTGACGTCTGTTGACCAGATCTTCAGTTGTTATAAATACCTCTACTGAAATTAGTGGAGATATGCTGATTTATCCCAACTGAGGATCAGAGCCTAAGTCTATTTTTTGTGGGGGGTTTGGAAAAATTACTTTGGAAGCCATTTCTTAGAGGTGTGCTTAAACACACAGAAAATTTTTTAAAAACCACATTAAAACTAAATTAAATTTATGCTTCAGGTAAGAACATTTTCATGAATTAAAAAGAAGTAAAACCTAAAACAATTGCTCTAGATAGCATAAAAATAATCAGAAGATTATAGGAACATATGCTCCTACATGTTAGGTCAATGTTAACAAATTATAGGAAACTCAAAATTCAATCTCTAACCTGCAACAAATATTCCTTAACATCTTCTCTGAGAGATGCTGAAACATTAAGTTCTTGTACTTTTTTATAGCATCTTAAACATGTGCATACTTAAGTAGATAAGGTTAGCTTCTATGTTGATGGGTGGTATTCCTGGAGCAATTCATAATGTTGGTCGTGTTTATAAGCCATTACAATAGTTTTAGAGTCTTAACTGGTTTTCTCTTGGGTGTGTATATGTTTGTATATATGTCCTGGTTTTTGGTTTCTTTTACAGTTAAGCTATGCTTTGAACCACACAAATCGGAAGCTGATGCTAGAGCCTAAAGTATCTGTCAATGCTAGAATTGTGGTGGTTGGTGCATCAAATGTTGGAATCTCCTTTCTAGAAACACTGATATTTTGGTAAGTTTTTTTGCTTTGCTAGCTTTGCTACAGGGAGGGGAATAAGCTATTTTTAAAATTTTAGAGGTGAGGCTTCAATTCAAATTCTATTTCTCTTGGTGCAGTTTTGCATGCACAAATTATTGCACTTGCATTTTTATGTTTTCCCTTGAATTATAGATGCAAAATAAGTAGTCCGATCTACAACTGCCTGATATGTTGAGGTAAAGGGTAGATCTCATTCTGCTAATTGAGTAAGCAATTCAAAAGTACTAATGTAATTGTTTGCAGGTGCAAAATTGGGCCTACAAAAATGAAGGCCATCTCTGAAAATGAGGTCCTTACTAGCAATGGAGAGAATTAAAAATACAGATTTTAGAATGAAAGGACATCCTTTATATCAGCCACTGAAGATCTCACAGGAGGACTGAACAATGAGAGTGCAAAATTACATTGTATTCTGCCCGTAGAATCTTGGCAATAATTCTGTAGGGTGTGTGCCTTGTGCATTCCAAATGGATTTGAAGTTGGCAGCTTGGTGAGGTGAACGAAAGGCCTAGAGCCTAGTTTTGGCTCTGTCACCATTGGTTAGCCAGTCATATTAGAATACTGTTCAGCTGTGTCTGAGTTTAAATCCTCTTTGAACATACATTGTTAGTCTTGTTTGCAAAGAGAATATAGATGTAGCTTAAATTTCTAGCCATTTCTTCATAAACCAGTGTGCTGTTGACCTTTGAACTAGCTCTGCACAGTACCAGGGTTGGTTAGAGTTCATACTGTTGTGCCTTCTGGGCCATTTTATGTGTGTTAGTTTTGTTTGCTGATTATCTGGCCCTGTTGTTTTCCTTGTGTTTTTTTTCCTGTTTTTGGGGGGGAGGGATTGTTTTGTTTTTTATCAGCTGCTCCAGAAGAGAGGTGCTGAGAACATTTTCCACCTGGGCTGGCAAAACATTTAGCACCATTCTTTCACAACCCCATCTGTATAGTACTAGAAAGAAAAATGTACACATCTCCTTTTATTTCATTTCATTATGGTATTGTTTTCAGAGCCCCTGCCAGCTG